ATGCGTAACAATAAGAAGGCCCATGATTTTCATTGAAACAGCAGTATGATTTGTTCAAAGAACGTAGCTTCAAACACACACTAGCCTTCATTTAATATGCCAATTAAATCATGCTTAATCCTTCAGAATTTTTTAAGGAAATAAGGTTTTAAGATTACTTCGTAATTTTTAAATTTTTGAGTTTTTAATTATCGCGAAGTGAGACTGAATTAATGAAGGAAAAAACTAATCGTCGTGAAAAACTGGTTTCTTTTTGGTTGTCTTTGCTTAATTTCGTTATACATCATTAGCTTTATTAGATTTGAAAGAACATGGGCAACGATTAATAATTCTATTCTTAAAGATATAAATTTGGGATTATGAGTTATAATATGACGAAATATAATACTGTTAAGTGAATCTAGCCCAGAGTGTCGGATGGTAAAACAATACTAGAGTGAATTTTAAGATGCATTTATTCTATGTGGTTATGCACTGTCAGCAAATAGATTTATTCAATCCAATAAGTTAAAAAATGCAAGAAAAATGCGTATAATTTAATTCGTAAAAGGAAGTGAAACTTTTTTATAATTAATTTTAAAAATTTTTATGACATTTGATCTTTGTTAAATAAATCTGTACATATGAAAACATGAACAATTTAAACATTCTTTTGCACCACTTATGAAAGCAACACGACGGCAGAAATATTCACGAATATTAGGTAAAATATATACATGTAAAACGCTTCCTGCCAGACATCTTGAGCTCTGAAAAGTACATGCAAAATGCTACACTAGTATTCTTGATTATTGGCAGAAATGTGGAAAACTACCGCCATCTGTTAGCCCACATCTAAATAAACAACTAAACACCACAGAATGGAAAGGAACCTGAACGGAAGAAAGAGTAGGTTGCACAGAAATAGACGGCAAAAAATCCCCCACAGAAATCACGGGTGCGCAAATTTGCTACTTTTATGTTGCCCTAGAAATCGCGGATGCAAGCGAGAGGGTAGTGTGAAAAACGTCTATTTAATAAATAAATGTAACACACAAAATGTTAAAAAATGCCTCTGGACGTAATTTTAAATCTGAAACATTAAGTTTTTTATTCATATTTAAATGAAATTTTAATTTAATTTTTAAAAATTTTTTATGACATTTGATTCTTTGTTAAATAATCGATGTCATATGAAAAGCAAGTCAACAAATAAGAAACATATTTTTCACATTTTTTATGAAACTAACAACCACGTGCAACATTACAACGGCATCCAAGCTCGACACAGAGAGAGAGAACTTGGTGTTGCCAATATTGTAAAGAAAATGACCAAACTAACACGCCTCCTTACATTTATATTTACTAATTACAAATAAACATAAATATAAGCAATCTTTTCATCTTTACCATTTACAATTAAGCATAGATATAAAGAATAACATTCAACACTTACTACAAAATTTATTTCAATTTCAAATCTTCTCTAAATTTCATAAATTTAATCTTTCCTAAAGACTTAGATATCTGCAATATTTGATTCTGAATCATCTTTACAATTTCAATTACTCCATTTTGAACATTTTCGTGAACATAATGATATTGAACTTCTATGTGTTTTGAATTTTAGTGAAGTTCCCATAATAGCAATGGCCAAAGCTCCTGAATTAGCTTCATAAATTTTAATGGGGTGAGTTATATCAGCAAAAAATCATTCACAACATTTTTTAAGAAATTAATTTCTGTCACAGCCTCAGATAGAGATATATTCGGCAAATGTGGAAGATTTGTCACAACAACTTTGCTTTTGGATTTCCAGTAAATGGATTATCAAATAATTCAATAACAACCCAGTAGTTGACTTTCTGCAACAATATCACCTGCCCAATCAGTATCAACATAACAATTCATAATATCAGTTTAAGATTTTTACTATAGGTTAATTTAGATGTTTTGTTAAGTACAAATACTTTAAAAACCTCCAAGCATTTTGAAATGTGTCATCATAACAATTTTGAAATCTACTTAAATAATTACACTGAAAGATATATCTGGTTTAGTACCATGACTAACTATACAAGAGTGCTCTTATTAGATTTCTATATTTGACTTTTGATTAAATTAGATTGGCTTAGTTTAAGTTAGTCTCCATTGGTGTATCATAAAGTTTTGAATTTTCAATACCATACAGTTAGCTAAAGATTCAATATAATTTTGCTGACTCAGTGTTAAGATATTACTTTTCTCATTAAATATTCAATATCAATTCCAATGTAGCTTTTTACTTTATTTAATCCTTCATTTAAGTTTATTATGTAGTGTTCCTTAATACATTAATTACCCGAGTATCTCTGCAACATATCAACAAATCATCAACAAATAAAAGATATATACAATACATCATTTTCAGATTTTACTAAAGACAATAATCATATTTACTTCTACGAAATCCTAGACTCTCAATATACTCTTAAAACATTCATACAAGCACGAGGGCTTTCTTTCAACCCATATAGTGCTTTCTTTAATTTATACACTCTATTGAATATCATTATAGCCTTGTGATTGTTTAACATAAACCTCAGATACAACATAACCATTTAAAAAGGCAGTCTCAACATCCATTTGATGAATATTTAAGTTATACTGACAAGAATATGAAAGTAACAGTTTTAAGGTTTGCATCTTAATGACAGGGGAGTAAGTATCCTCAATACTTACTCCCCTAATACTTACTCCCCTGTTTCAGTTTAACACATTCTAAGTTATTTCTACAAACAATTTGTAGAGATGTTGAAATTTTTAAATACATGGCATCAAATTTCGTAATTATATCAAATGCAGTCTCACACTCGTGAATGTATTCCAATTGCTTGTTTGTTATGGCGCCGTAAATGTAATTTGTAGCTTGGATATCCTTTTCTTCCCATTTTTTCACGTCATCGTTTTCACTGACTTTTTGCTGAACCACATCTTTACATTTTTTAAATTGAAGAAATTTTCATCATACGCACTTTCCAATTAAAATAGTCCGAACCATCAAATAGCGGTATGCCGATATTGCTGCTTCTTGTACATGCCATTTATACGCTAGTACCGGTAACTTTTAAAACAAATTTTAACTACTAAATTCTTCATTCATATTCAAAACCACGAGAACTGCTACCATGTTAAATAAATCGATGTCATATGAAGAAGCAAGTCGAAAAATAAGAAACGTATCTTTTCACATTTTTTATTGAAACTTAACAACACGTGCACAACATTACAACGGCATCCATAGCTCGCACACAGAGAGAGAGAACTTGGTGTTGCCAGTACGGTAAAGATAAATGTACCAAACTAACATTCTTGCTATTTCAAAAATAAAATATTTGACTAAAATATTAATAATATTTTAAGAAATTAAATGTGGCATGATAAAATTGTGTAAAGCAATGGGTACAATGATAAAACTGTTTAAAGCAATGTATGCAAGTCATCCTAAAGTAAAATGTTGGATAAACATCTCTTATTTATATATATTTCCTGAACGGAACATTGAGAGGCGTGTTAACTGTGCTTTACTGTATTTTGTCTTTTAATATATGCAGTTTTCAAATGCATCATAGTCTGGGTTACAAAGTATTCTTCCGAAAGAAACGCAATTCAAATAAATAAAATGAAATTCTGGAAAATTTATATTAATAAATAATTTAAAATGCTCAGTTCGATGAATAAATAGAAAGATTTTAAAATAATTATCTGAAGAGACAATGCAACACCAACAATTAAAATAAAAGTCTAAAAATTTAAAAATTACCTAAAATAATAACTATGACTAAAAAATATAGTAAAGAAAGAAAACTATTTGAAAAAATAAACGATGTACCTTTCATTTAAACTACTCAGTTCGAATGAATAAATAGAAATTTTTAAAACAGTTATTTAAAAGAAGCCATGCGACTTAGACAATTAAAATTAAATTCAAAAAAAAATATTTAAAATAATAACAATTATAATTATAAATATAATATAAAGAAAAATTTTTGAAAGAAAGATTGCTGTAACTTTTTTCCTCTCGATGCACAATCTAAAAAGAGGAAGGAAAATAGGTTGCCATATATTAAGAAGTTCGCCAAGTGAACTATTCATGGCACAAATTGAAAAGATATTACCAAGATAAATTTTTGAATTTCTCCTGAAATTTCGCTCCAAATTTTACAAAATTTAATATTTAGGCATAATTTGAGTCTTAGAATCGAAATATGCAAAAAATTGGCATGTTTTTTTTTAGAAAAGTCTGATTTTGTGTCAAAATACCTATGTTAGATTAATGCTATATATAAATCTAATATATGTATCCTAAGTTGCACTTTCGAGACATGAAAAACACAGTTTGAGTTTCATCAATCGGCCCAGTAGAACGGGAGATATAAAACTATCCCTTTTTTTTTTGCAGTATGCATATGTTTCTCACATTGTAATAAAACATTGGTACTTATAGCCATCAAATTTTGAATAATGTACATTTCCACTTGAATATGGGCATCTGAAAGCCCACATTTGGAATTTTTTTATTAAATATTTCATATTATTTTTAAGCTCTGTATAATTTATAATTCAAAGCTCATAGTTTAAGAGCAAGAATCATGTAGAGTCTGCAAATAAATGTACAATATAAAACTGGAGTCATTTTTACATTATGAAATTTTTTATGTGTACAAACTATATGAATTACATTTGGTTTCAGACCTATAAAGTGCATTTTCAATTATACTATTATTTTTAGTTATATATATTGTTATTGTTCATTAAAATTAGATACATGATTCTTGCTATCTATTTTAATGCATTTTTTATAAGGGATATTTTTTATTGCTATGATGCCCTACATTTAAACATATATGATGACTCAGTGAAGATATTTTAGTTTCATTTAGATAATTAATGATTGCTTAGTGCATTTTAAGACCATTTGCATTTTACTGTCTGTAAGACTTTTGTTTAAAAATTTTTAATCCTTATATTTTTGTCATTAGAAATGTGTTATACCATCAACTCACGTGTATAAACTTCAGGATTTAAAGTTTAATGACTTCAGTTTAAATGATGAAGATATGCTGAAAGCTTGCCTTAGGATGTTTATGGACTTGGATTTAATTGAACGATTTCATATTAATTATGAGGTAAAGCTTTTATTTTCTGTACTATTTTGATATGAATATGACAACTTTAACATATCTGTAGAGTGAATTTGTTTAAATTTTGAAGATTCACAGTTTATTTATATTAATAACAGACTATGTAATATAATTCAACTGCTCACAAACGAATAGTTGGGTATAGATTCATAGTGAATTTCATATTTTATTACTTAATCATAGTTCTGTGATATGTTATCATAGTGAGTTAGATATCTTTAATAAATGCATAAATTGCATTTATTAAAGAAAAATAGGGAATAGAAGAGAAAAAAATATTTAAAAGTATAATGTAACTGCAAGTGGTTGATTTTCCTAGAGCTACACCCCAGTATATTTTCACAGGTCAACATGACTGAAATAGACAACTTCAGAACCCCCTCCCTTTTCAAAGCTGAGTTCATGCTTCTTTTCAAAGAAAGATGTGCAAACTTTTCAGCTTCCTTTTAAGTGTGAAACCTTTCTGATTTGTTTATTACTGGCTATGTCATATCTGTAATTGTAAAAAACAAATCGGAATCAATAAATCAGTAATAAACAAATCAGAATCAATTTTAAGAAATGTTGAAAGCATTGAAAAGGGAAAAAACAAAATCTGATGTGTACACCACATGACTTCCTTGATGTGTACACCACATGACAATATTCTTGAATGCATTCCTTCGTCTCCAGTATCTTCGTGTTTCCTTTTCTGTAATAGATGTAAGTGAGTTTAGGGATAACTTTATCTCACCTTGCATTTTAAAATTATTGAATTTGCCATATCAATATGATGAGTTAGCCATTGAAAATTTAAAGAAAAATTAGAATCAAGTACATGCATGTGATCTTTCTGTTATAGCAAAATAGGGGTGCAGTGGATACTGTCTATAATTTTAGTGTTTGTGTGTAAACTACTAAATGGAAATACAGTCAAAAGTCGTTAATCTGGACGCCCATAATCCGGAATAATCTATAATCTGGACCTCAAAGCTACAAACTTTCTGCTCATGCGTCAACGCATAATGCGTTCACTCATGCGCATATGCGTTTATACCTTTACGCATGCGCATATGCATGTGCGCATGCATGTTTAAGGTATAACGGACTGTATAAGCTAAGCTAAAATTATCTAATTATCTATTTCAGTTAATATTGCAGATTGCTTTGTTCCTTAATCTTTGAATTGGATTCGGCTTATTATTTTTTGCAGACTGTTAGAGCAATTTTATAAACGTAAGCTTGAACTTTCGATTATGTCAAACAGAATTTCCGATGCTGGATACTGCCAAAGGATTTATAAAGCGAAAGCATGTTTCGATGTCGATCAAACAAAAAGTGGAATTGCTGCAAAAAATGGATAAAGGTATATCCTTTGTTTCTCTAACCATTCCGAAATCTGTTTATCAATTTCAGGCTGCTCTGCAGGGGAGGGAAACGTCGTGGTGCGTAATGAACTGGAAGTTGATCTGTCAGCCTTATCTTCAGGGCAGATGTTTTTATTTTATTCGGCTTACTAAATGTAGTATTTCATCTCGATGTACTTGTCTTTGATATGATTTAAATCAAATTCATTATAAATATCACGAATACACATCAAATAGTTTGAATAATGTAATCATCCAGCTGAAGCACTTGAAGCCCAAATTTTGAATTTGTTTTATTGTCCATTTCATGTTTTGTAAAAGTTTAAAGAATTTTTATTAACAAACTTGATTTCAAAACAAATAATGGCAACATTATGCAGAAGAAAACATTTTTATTTCCAGTGTCCATTGGAAATTCTAAAGCTATGCTATTTTAAAATATTTTTAGTCTAAAGGGAGAAATGCTCTCAAAATGTATATGTGTGTAAATGGGGGGGGGGGGGGGGAAACCTTTGAGCGTAGTATAAAATCTTTTGACTTTTTTAAAATTTATTGTATTTTTTAGTTTGTTACTCTTTTCCATCACCTTCCGACACTTCTATTTTTCTGATACAAAAATAATATGTAATATATTCTTGTTTTAGTGTATAATGTTGATTCAGAGATTAGAAGTGCTCAAACAAATATTTACTGAAAGCTTCCTAAATTAATAATTAATGCATAGTTAAAAGTAATAAACTCAAATGCTAAAGAAATAAATGTGTACAAATTTTTAATAATTTATGAGATGTATTAAAAAATTTAAATTCTCCAGATTTCCTTATATAAAATCTATTGCATATTTATGTGATTTCATGTTAGTTTAATTAGTAATTTTTGTATTTAGGTACTTTGTCGATGGCTCCTAAGTGTCAGGAAGAACTACAGACAAGTCATATATCATAACTGGAGACATGCTTTTAATGTGGGCCAAATGATGTTTGCTGTTTTAACTGTAAGTAAAAAAATTATTAAACTGCCAGTGTGTAGATTTATATTACATTTTAAGATACCTAACTGCAATTTTCTATATTTTCTATAGTTTGTTCTGAAATATCTGAGTAATAAAATAGTAAATTAAATAAGCTAGCAAGAATAGCCTTTCAAATATTTTTGCAGTTTTCCATATTTTCCGTATATTGCATTCGCAAATTAAAATAGCTGAGCTAAATAAACTGGGAACAGTAGCTTTTCAGATAATATATCTCAAAATCTGATTATAATTTCTCTAATCTAATCTTTAATGTAAAATTTTTTAAATCATCCAGTACTACTTTTTTATATTGAAATCTTTTAAACTTCCAATTGCATAAACACATTTATTGATTCATTTTTTTAATCTATTACATTGTACAAGATTCAAAATTATTCTCCTTGCTGAATCCATTCATCCATTTTTATGTTTTACTGTTCAATTAGTAACTACTAATTATGTCCGCATTGTTGCTATCTTTGTTAAATCTAGAAGTAGCTTTTGTTATATGCATTTGAAAGTTAATCCTTGTGTATTTTTAATGAGTTGAATTTTCATCAATTGCCTTTGTAATGATGAGTTAAATTAATATCATTTTTATCTCTGAATTAATCCTTTTTTTTTCTTTCTTTTTTTTTTTTCATTTCTATGCACTTTAAAATAGTGCTTGTGCTTGTCAGAAGGGTAGGGATATAAAGGATATAAGATTATAGTTTCGTATAAAAACATTCTCACATTAAATTAAAGCAAAATTCATATGTAGAATTTCATTGATTTTCAATTAATAACCAGTATATATTTTATAATCTGATGTAAGTCAAAAAAAAAAAAAAAATCAAAAACCATGTTCTGCAGCATTACTACTTAAGAGAATTCAGAATTTAGTCAGATTTATCAAAAAGCATGAAGATCATTTATTATAGGAGGACATTTTTATGAACGAGCATTTTAAGGAAAATTGTTTCATATTTATACACTGAAGTGACAAAAGTCATGGGATACCTCTTAATATTTTGTCGGTCCTCCTTTTGCCCGGCGAAGTACAGCAACTCGACGTGGCATGGACTCAACAAGTCGTTGGAAGTCCCCTGCAGGAATATTGAGCCATGCTGCCTCTATAGACATCCATAATTGTGAAAGTGTTGACGGTGCAAGGTTTTGGGCACGAACTGACCTCTTGATGATGTCTGATAAATATTCGATGGGATTCATGTCGGGCGATCTAGGTGGCCAGATCTTTCCCTGGAATTGTCCAGAATGTTCTTCTAACCAATCGCGAACAATTGTGGCCCGGTGACATGGCGCATTGTCATCCATAAAATTCCCATTGTTGTTTGAGTACGTGAAGTCCATGAATGGCTGTAAGTGATCTCCAAGTAGCTGAAGGTATCCATTTCCAGTCAATGATCGGTTTAGTTGCACCAGAGGACCGAGTACATGCCATGTAAAAACAGCCTAGACCATTATGGAACCATTACCAGCTTGAACAGTGCCTTGTTAACAACTTGGGTCCATGGCTTCATGGGGTCTGTACCACACTTGAACCCTACCATCAGCTCTTACCAACTGAAATCATGACTCATCTGACCAAGCCACGGTTTTCCATTCGTTTAGGGTCCAACCGATATGCTCACGAGCCCACGAGAGTCGCTGCAGGCGATGTTGTGCTGTCAGTAAAGGCACTCGAGTCGGTCTTCTGCTGGCATAGCCCAAGGAAGACAAATTTTGCCGCACTGTCCTATTGGACATGTCCCTCATACGTCCCACATTGATTTCTGTGGTTATTTGATGCAGTGTTGCTTGTCTGTGAACATTGACAACTCTACGCAGAAGTCGCTGGTCTCGGTCGTTAAGTGCAGGTGGTTGACCACTGTGCTGTCCATGGTGGGATGTTATGCCTGAAATTAGATACTCTCGGCACACTCTTGACACCCTGGATCTCGGAATGTTGAATTCCCTAACAATATCCGAAATGGAATGACCCATGCGTCTAGCTCCAACTACCATTCCACGTTCATGTTGAATTCCCTAACAATATCCGAAATGGAATGACCCATGCGTCTAGCTCCAACTACCATTCCACGTTCAAAGTCTGTTAATTCTCATTGTGTGGCCATAATCACGTGAAAGCCTCTTCACATGAATAACTTAAACACAAATGAAAGCCCTGCCAAAGCACTTCGCATTTATACATTTTCTACGCAATACTACTGTCATCTGTATATTTGCATATTGCTATCCCATGACTTTTATCACTTCAGTGTATAATGTATGAGAAATATCATGAAAAGTCTATGCCGTGAGTCCATTGACTGGAAATAGATGCTCAGGTTGAAGTACTAGTGCTCTGTAGTTTTAGCTACTCAGTTTTGTGAACCCTTTGAAATGCGTTGAATCTTTTTTGTTTAAAATCAAAGAAAATCTGATGCCGAGTTGGCTTAATTTTAAACTTGGTGTGCATTTCTTTCTTGAATATTTTGACATGTTTTTTCTTAAAGTAATCTTATGTAAAGCATTGTATCCTGAAGTAATCTTATAAATTAATGTATTTTACTTTAATTCCTTACTTAAATCATTGCAAAACATATTTTAATATAATTTCTTGTGGTTCAATTTGTATTTTTATTTCTTTTTTATGTGGCTAATTTAGGGAGTTATAGTTCAGCCTACTTGGCTATGCAAGGTGATTTGGTTTGGTTTGGTTTATTTTCTTATAGCAAAGCACTGAAGGGCTATCTGCCTAAAGAGAGAGGCTTTTGTGGAGGAATTTCTAAGGCAAACTGGTTCGTATATGTCTTTCAAATAAGGAAAACCACCAAAACGTCTGCCTGTTTGCCGGGATTCAAATTCCGGACAGAGATTACAAAAAACTATCTATATATAATGCCATATGTGAAGTTATCTTATGGTAGAGGTATTCAGTATTATTTTTTGGAGGCCAGAGCTCTTCAGACCGTGGTATTAATTTCATAATTCTTGAAACCTTAGTATAAGTACCATAGTGACTCTAAGGTTTACCAACTTTAAATATCCAATTATTCTATGCTTTTTTATGATTTTTATTTTCTTTCTTGGAGGAGAGTTCTTGAAATGAATCTTCATTCATGTTCCTGTAAAGATTCATAATGATCTTCAAGTTTGATTTCAATCTTTACTCTAAAATAAATTTTGTTCTTCTCACTACAAAGATCGCCTGTTTACTACAAATAACTATTAAGTAGGGAAGCTATTATTAGCCCTAAGGGTGTTAGCCCAGAAGTGCTATTAATTTCGTTTTGGCATTTTGCATTGAAAACCTTAAATGTCATTTCACTTTTCAAACTGTTGCCACCAAATATTACAGCCTAGTAGAATATTTTAAGAAATTAAATAATGAAGTATCTCCATAAATGTATACAATCAAAAGTCGTTAATTCGGACACCCATAATCTGGAATGATCTATAATCCGGACCTCAAAGCTAAAAACTTTCTGCGCATGCGCCGCGTTGACACATGCGCATAGGCATTTACGCATGCACGTAAGACCTTTACGACTGCGCATATGCATGTGCGCAAGCACAGAATACGTTTTCGCGTGTGCATTTAATGTATAACGGACGGTATAAGCTAAAATTATCTAATTATCTATTTCAGTTAATGTTGATGATTGCGTTGTTCCTTAATCTTCGAATTGGATGCGGCTTATTATTTTTTGCAGACTGTAAGAGCAATTTTATAAAAGTAAACTTGAACTTTCGATTATGTCAAATAGAATTTCCGATGCTGGAGCTCCCAAAGGATCTACAAAACGAAAGTATGTTTCGATGTCCGTCAAACAAAAAGTGGAATTGCTGCAAAAAATGGATAAAGACATGAAGAAAGTGACAGAGAGGTTAGTGAAAATGAAAAAATTTCGTTTGACAAGTTAGTGGTATTCTCGGCACAGCAATTATGGGACTTGAACAGCGGAACTTTGTAACTGAACAAGAAATTATGTCTGTTTATAGAATTAAAGAGAAAGTATTATCACATAAAACGAAGCAACTTAAGCCCAGAAGTGCTATTAATTATTGTATATATAAAGTGTATATGTTTGTATATGTTTTCTGTTTCTGCAAAAAATGGATAAAGGCATGAAGAAAGTGACAGAGAGGTTAGTGAAAACGAAAAAATTTCGATTGACAAGTTAGTCAGTATTCTCGGCACAGCAATTACAGGACTTGAACAGTGGAACTTTGTAACTGAACAAGAAATTATGTCTTTTTATAGAATTAAGGAGAAAGTATTAGCACAAAAAATGAAGCAACTTAAACAACTTACATTGAAAGAAATGTTTAATAAAGTAAAAAATAAATATTAAGCTTTTTTTTTTTGTAAATTTTGATACCCTTTAGATCATAATTGTTCTTTATTTCATAAATTACAGTTTCATATTTTTAATTTTAGAAATTCTGCATGCCATCTTACGAGATTTAAACTGATGATCTATAATCCGGAATCGGCAAAGTCCCGACGAGTCCGGATTAACGACTTTTGACTATATATGTTTTCTGTTTTCTCGCATTGTGATAATACGATGGTACCTAGTGTCATCAAATTTTGAATAATGTACATCTCCACTTGCATATGGTCATCTGGAAGCCCAAATTTGGAATTTGTTTTATCATCTATTTCATATTTTGTAAAACTTTAATGAATTTTTGATTGACAAAATGATTTCAAAGCGAGCAATGGTAAAATAAATATATATATATATATATCTTCAGTGCGTGAGACTTTGTATCAGAAATTCCAAAGATATGCATATTTAAAAATAATTTTGCTATTAAATTGCTGTTGAAATGAGTTTTATGGTTTAAGTGCAAAGAACATGATATTTAATAAATAAAGGTAACCCATAAAACGTTAAAAAAAGTGCCCCTTTGAGTGAAATGTAAAATCTGAAACCTTTCAGATTTAAAAAAAAAAAAAAAAAAATTATGCATTTTTATATTATTTTGTACGTGTGTGTGTGCACATTAAAAAGTTCTATATTTGAAATAAACGTGAAAGTTGCATTTAACATCAGATTGCTGAAGCTGGAATTATGCAATAATAACAGCAGTAACATAATGTAAACAATTTTAAATAAAGTAGATATATATGTATACAGTACAAAGTCTTTAATCCACACGTCCATAATCCGGATGATCTATAATCCGGACCTCGAAGCCACAAACTTTCTGCGCGTGCGTAAATGCATGTAAATGCACATAAAACCTTTGCCCATGCGCATAATACATTTACACATGCGCATTTAATGTATAATGGAGGGTATAAGCTAGGCTAAAATTATCTAATTATCTATTTCAGTTAATGTTGCAGATTGTGCTGTTCCTTAATCTTCTAATTAGATCCAGCTTATTATTTTTTGCAGACTGTTAGAGCAATTTTATAAAAATTAAGCTTGAACTTTCAATTATGTCAAAAAGAGTTTCCGATTCTGGAACTGCCAAAGGATCTACAAAGCGAAAGAATGTTTCGATGTCAATCAAACAAAAAGTGGAATTGCTGCAAAAAATGGATAAAGGCATGAAGAAAGTGACAGAGAGATTAGTGAAAACGAAAAAATTTCAATTGACAAGTTAGTCAGTATTCTCAGCACAGCAATTACAGGACTTGAACAGTGGAACTTTGTAACTGAACAAGAAATTATGTCTTTTTATAGAATTAAGGAGAAAGTATTAGTGCAAAAAATGAAGCAACTTAAACAACTTACATTGAAAGAAATGTTTAATAAATTAAACAAATAAATATTAAGCTTTTTTTTTTTTTTTTGTAAATTTTGATACCCTTTAGATCATAATTGCTCTTTATTTCATAAATTACGGTTTGCTATTTTTAATTGTATAATTTCTGCATACCATCTTACCAGATTTAAATTGATCATCCCTAATCCAGAATCGCTGAAGTCCCGATGAGTCCGGATTAAAGATTTTGTACTGTATTATCTTGTTATGAGTAAAACTATCAGTTTTACTAACAAAATACTGACTGTACTTTTTGTTAATTATTTTTGTTTCCAAGTTTCCTGTTTATATTCATTTTTAACTCAAATGCTTTGCATTTATAATATTTTTGAAGCTTCAGATTGCTGAAGCTGGAATTATTTAATAACAACAGCAACATAATTTAAACTATTTTAAATAGAGTAGCTATATATGCACATAATCTTGATTATCGGTAACCAGTTTTTACTAACAAAATACTGACTGTACCTTTTTGGTTTAAGCAGTTTTGTTTTCAAATTTCCTGTTTATATTCATTTTTACCTCAAATGCTTTGAATTTACAATATTTTTGAAGCAATTACTCTTATTGAGCCTTTTTTCCTTTTTAAATCTAGGTATGTATCTACATGCAGCTGTCTAAATTTCTAGTTTGTATTTTAAAAATCTAAACATTATATATTTTATGTGAATTACTATTATTATTGCTCTCATCATTATTATTTTTATAGATCACCAAGTTATGCCATGTGTTTGGAGAAGTTGAAACTTTAGCTTTAATGATTGCATGTTTATGCCATGATTTAGACCATAGAGGCACAAATAATTCTTTTCAGATAAAGTATGTATTTTATAATTGAGTAAACTTGTACCTTATTCCTGTGGAACATTCTTGTATTTTGTTCCTATAGTTCCTCTTAAATAAATAAATAAAAAAAAGTTTAAATGTTATCACAATAATTTAATCCAATTTAATCTCTTTTATTAATTATACAATTAGTTATGAAATTTGTATGAGTATAAACAGAGTCCAACAAATTGCTCTAGATCCTATAACAAATAAAGAAAACCATCATAAAAGTAAGAGGTAATCTTACTTTTTTACAGCTACTTTAGAGGTTTGTAAAGATAGTAAATTATCTTTTGGTAAAATGCACATATTTTTACTAACATCTTGTCTGCTTTGATAATTCTAACCTTAAAGCAATGAAAATATTTGAAATATTATAGAACCTTGCGTTTTGGATTTTTGGAATGTCAACATTGAGGATAGCACCTTTTCTTGAGATTTTGTTTGATATTCTGTTATAAAAAGAACTCTCATTAATTGAGCATTGAAAAAAAAGAAAAGAAAAGAATTACTGATGAAATAAATACACTTCTTTTTTCCAAAAGGAAAAAAAAAATCTTTAATCTACATTTTTTAAAAATAAACATCACTATCAAAATATTTTTTTGAAAAATGATTTTTTTTTCTTTGTAAGGTGGTGAAAAGTAAAAAAATATTTTTTCATCCTTTTCATAGAAGGTACTTTTAGTTGACTTCTAGTGGGTGACTGTTCTTTTTACAAACCACTCTGCCTGTTTGCAATGGAGATTTTTGTATGAAAATGTCACCTCATAAACTGTAGTCTAGTAAAATCTAACATTGAAATTTTAAGGAAATTTCTCTTTAGAATCATGAAACATGGTCTAGTGTTTTAAAGAAATATGTCACAGCCACTGTATATGTGCAAAATAAAGAAAAGGTGACAATGATGATATATGACACTTGCTACATTTGTAAGAAATGAAACATGAAAAGAAATCATGAAAAGTGAAGCAACGACCTGTGTTAGGTGAAATTTTAGTATAGAAATACTATAAATTTCCAGGATGAACAAAGCCCCTCTTTATCAAGAGCAAATAAATCCACAACTGAAAAATCAAATTATGAACAATTTATACCCTTAGGAAGTCGAGAGAGGAGAAAAAGCAACTCCATCTGTTAGTAGAAATAATAAGAAAAATTGAAAAATTAGGATAATATAGATCATTAAGTAGGATTGTATTAAAATCATTAACTAAAAAAATTTTTGTGAATGTGAAAAGCTTCAAGAAAATCTGATTTTCCAGTGGAAGAAGCTTTCTGGATAATTTTTGTAGACCCAGAGTCAACATTGTGACTAAATTTCCAACTATGATTAGCAATCGAAGACTTCTAAATTTCACCTTTTCAGACATAAGATTTATGGTCTTTAATGCGAAACCTGAATGCTTTTTTGGTTTGGCCAATGTATCTCAAACCACACTGACAAGATATGCTATAAATTCTCCAAGAACTGAAGTCAGAAAGGGTATCTTTAAGAACTGAACCATGAATTTTATTGATAGGCAAGAAAATGACTTCAAAATGGAACTTCTGGAGAATTCTTGCAATTTTATAACTGACAGAAGGATGAAAGGGAAGCACGACTAGGTTATTAACATTATTTCTAATAGCGGAATGTTTTCTTGGATGGAAAGAGGAAAACATTTTAAGAGCTTTATCAACGACAATGGGAGAAAATCCTCTGTCAATGGCAACTGCTCTCCAATAATTGATTTTGTTATCAAGTAGAGATTCAGAGGAACAAACTTTGGGAACATGAAAAACATAATAGTGACTTATGGTGAGCTGAATATGTGATGAATTTTGAAACATATGTTTTATTTTATTTTGCATTATATATATATATTACACTATCTGACAATAAGTATTTCAACACCAATGAAAATGCTGATACCTGTGATCCTGATATATGTCACACCTTCCACCATTAAATATTGTGTGGGAAACATCATTGGCATTAGACGCATGCAAGATGCCATGAAGTCCGGAGTTATCCGATTTCGAGAAGGTTGCTGTCTTGGGGTATCACAAAAATGGCCGATTCTTAAAGGGGATATCTAGTGAGTTGAATTACCCAAAATTCAGCAGTGGCTTATGTGATTCAGAAATGGTTCAAAAATTGTAGTTTTTGTTCACAAGTATTATCTTTAATTGTCATTAATAGTTTCATGGATAATATCCAGGAGAGTCTATCAATACCCAGGAGAAGTCATTTGCCTGATTCGTTAAGGTGGCGGGTGACCAGATGGAGGGAAATGGGGATGTCACAAGCTCATGCTGCTAGACATCTCATTGTCTCTCGCAGTGTGCTCCACCGACTATGGAATCTCTTTGAATCCAAGGATTCTGTGTCTAGAAGACATGTTCCAGGCAGACCTAGAGTTACAACATCTGCAGAAGACCATTATTTAGCTCTTTTGGCCTGAAGGAGGAGTAACAAACGCCTGCGCAATACAAGTTTGTATGCAAGATGACTAGTTGTTTGTGTACCCTTGACCTGGGTACACAGAGGTGCTCATTTATGTTGAGCAAAAGTATACATATCCTGGACCAGTCAACAATGAACATATTTTCTCTTCATAGACGAGTCCAGGTTCACATTGGGGAGTGATTCAGGTTGTGAGCTGATGTGGAGAGAACAATGCACCAGATACAACCGATTCCACACTGTGAAAAGACACAGTTACAGAGGTGGTGGAATAATGGTTTGCGCTGGGATCGCTCTCGCTGATCACACTAACCTGCATGGGTTCCATGGAGGAACTTTGACCGGTGTGAGATATCAAGATGTGATCTTTAATTGGTATGTCCACCCATATGCCGTTGCTATTCGTCCTGGATTTCTTCTGATGGACCACAGTGCACAACTGCACCGAACTTGAGTTGTTGAAGAATATCTTGAGGGTCATGGTATGGAGCTGTTGGAATGACCAGCTCAATCCCCAGACCTGAATCCAATAGAGCGTCTTTGGTTGCTGCTTTAAGTCCTCCTCCAAGGTTATTAGATGAGCTTGAACAAGGATTACCCCATGTCTGGTCATTGCTTCCCATTTCCACTGATCGTCAACTTAATTGACAGCATAAAATGTCACTACTGCTAATGTATTGAAACTAGGAATGGACACATACCTTATTAGAACCCATTTTTGTAATGTTACCACCCCATTTTTGCTCCATAAATTTGTGATGTACTGTTTCTCCAAGACTGGATTTCTCTGCCAAGAGCGCAATTTTTTACTGTAATTCATCTTGAGTTTTAGAAACATTATATATCTCATTCATTAAAGAACTGTTTAGTGAACATGTCCTGTAAATTTCTTGTTTCTATGTTGCTTCGTTCTCAAATTAGACATACAAAACATGCTGTTCTTTAACTTTTGGAGGGTAGTGTATATGTAATAGGATGACTTGGAAAAAGCTGCAATGGACTGGCAATGGTTCTCTGAATTATAATTGTTTGGAGGGGCTTTACTGTGTAGTAAGAAAAATGACAATCAAAGGCAAACGTAGCCACAAATTCCATGCATAATTTTATTCCTGGATAATTAATTCTGAGGACACATTTGCTTTTTCATGTCACATCATCACTGTGGGTGCACTATGTACCCCATAATTTTATACAGATTACATTTTTAGAACAATGGACAACAGCTGTCAGAGGCTAAGTAAGCAAAATGAGTAAGATTAAATATTCAACTTTTTTTCAATTGACATTGCAACCCCAATTTTTTTGACACTCTAATCTATTGAAGAACATTTAAATTTTTTTACTATTGTGATAGGAAGAAAGCGGAGCAAAATAGTGTTTTTACAGGAAGAGAGGTAGAAGCTAAAATGCACAGTTAATCCAATATAGAATCAACAGAAACTTTTGGTTTAGGTTGCTTATTAAGAGAAAGGTTTCAGTTCTTGAAATTTTGATTTCAGATTCCGATTTAGCTATGTCATCAGCATTATGCAAGCCACATAGAATTTATTGATCTAGAAATGATGCAGTTCAGAAAAGTTATTATTGGTTTTAGAATAGAGAGGGAATTAAGGGCTGCTGCTTAATAAAAGTTACAATTTTGAGATTTACATATTTTTTATCTTACATACACATACACACACACACACAAATATGTGGATATATTATACACATGTACTATATTTATTCTATAGAAGAATTCTAAACTCATAAGTCAAGAGATGAGAAAAAACTGTTATTTTCATTTTTATTGGCTTATAAAATCACAACAATAATAAAGATTTCATACTGTTTTACTTTTTCCTTAATAAAAGAATTACGTGTATTTTGAAATACTGCAATTTTTCTCCTCTCTTTTTTATGCCTGTTTCAATATCAAAATGAAATTATATTTGTTCTGTATTTCAAAATATATATTTTTAGCTCAATATCTTGAAATGAAGGCAGGATTTTTCTTTATGCTATCTGTAATATTTTATACAAAAATTTTGTATTTTTTTCACTTTTAAACAGGTTCTTCCTTGTAATGTTTACTAATTGATTTTGTAAGTTTGCTCTTATTTTTAAACATCATGGTCATTGATAATGTGTTTATAATTTTCTTTTTTAAAATGGGTGTTATGATATTTTAATCAAATATTTTTTGTAATATAGGTATCCAGGAATTAGTGTGGTTATTAAATGTAAATCTTTTAAATATAGTCTATTGTGGTTAACATATCAATTAAAAAAATCATCAAAATATATTTCTCTGGTCATTGCAGTTGGAATGCAGAAAACTGTATATTTAATTTATGCAAATCTAAAATCCTTTTCCTGTTTCAGATCATGTTCACCACTGGCGCAGTTATACTCTACTTCAACAATGGAACATCACCATTTTGATCAGTGCATCATGATTTTGAATAGCGAGGTAAAATAACTTTCAGTAACTCTCTAACTAAACGAGTAATTAAAAGTTCAGGAAGGATTCATTTAGGACCTTGAATTACATGTGTCGGGGAGTTAATCTCAAATTATTCCTAATTTCTTTTATTGTTTTTTCTGTTATTATAAATTTAAATTTTATATTTTTACAATAACAGTATTACTCATAAGGCAGCTATACGCTTCCATTGTTGTCAGTAGCCTTTTATAGAAACTTTTGTTAAAACTTTTTTTTTTTATTTGGATATATATATATATATATATATATATATACTTATTTGCAGTTTGCATGTCTTGAAAACTAATGTTCACCAGCCTTACCCGAGAATTCATTTCTATTTAAAAAATCGTTATTTGCCTTTTAAATTCCAGCTTGATGCAATTTTTGTGCAAATATTGATCAGAAACATTGCAGACTAATGAAAAATCTTAGAATTTTTGAATCGCAAAATAAACAAACTGGTAAATGTGGTTAAATTTTATAAATTGGAATGTTTAGAATATTTTTATACAGCTTGAGCATATGTGCTTTATATTATATGCATTAGTGAAAATATTTCTACATATGTTTTTTAATAAACAATCTATATATCTCTAAAATTTTATCAATGTTATTGATTTTATCAAAGATAATTTATTAAATTTTGGATTATAGTACTGTATTCTGTTGTACAAGGAAATGGCTGTTAACAGTTATTGTACACTACTGAGGAAATCTTGGTGGTTTACAAAGAATATATAGGCCTATTTAATTGAGAAAAGATTTAAGTGTAGAATTAAAACAGAAAAGAGAAAAATTTTTAACCCGCTAAAGATTTATGAAAAATGTTAAACATATTTCTTTTCCCCAGTTACAGATTCTCATCTACCTTTGTTACATCTTTAAACTTAAAGTGCAGTACATTGTCCGAAATCTGGATGTTTAATATCAGACCATTAGTCTCCCCCACCAAAAAAATAATAATAATAATATGAAAAGTATTTTCTCCACAAAGTCTTAGGAATGGAGAATTTAATACTGAATGAAAGGAAATGGGTGTCCATAAATCAGATTTTTCTCCCATTAAATTGAGATTCATGTATGTGACCTGCAAACGTCTGCTGGCTAGGGAATCGCACCATGGCAAATGACAATACATTGAATATCATGATCACATAATCACACTAATTAACACTAACACATAATCACACTAAACATTAAACTACATAATCACACTTTCAAGCCTTGGGTAGTTGTGAGGGGATTAACATTTTTCTATTTGACTTAACCAATAATTGATGCCCCACTGTTGTCATCTCTACCCATCATCTTAAATTTAAATTGATGATCTAAAATCTAGAATCACTGAAATCCCAATAATTCCAGATCTCAGACGTTGTACTGTAATTGCTTAGATCATTTATACAGAATAGTTTGTTGATATAGGGTCTGAAAAACACTTTAGTTAATCAAAGCATCATACAAATGATTTTCATGCCAGCTCTGTCAATAAATTGTAATTATAAAAGAAAACTTTTTTACATTTTTTAAGTGATATTTTCTGATTACTCCCACCAAAAAATCGTGAACAAGTATTCATGAGGCAGTGCTGTATGTGGCAACCTAGGTTATGCATGTAGCACATGTCTGTTTATTTGCAATTTTAAAATTCAATCATCTTTTTTTCAATTATTATTTTTTTGTACTGAACATATTCATTTTTTCTCATAATGAATTGTAATGGGAGTGTGAAGCTTGCTTGCTGACTGATGAAAAGGAAAGTGTTGCATTTCTACAAGAATATGGCATTATGCCTAACAAATGGAGTTATACTTTTTAAGTGACTGAATTTTGTGGAAACACAGTGTGAGAAATTACTAAGCAAAGTGTTAAAATGCTAGTCAGAAATTAGTTTGAAGACAGCTAAATTTAATTTACAGCAGTTGTTCAGTTTATATATTGTTGGTTAACATACAATGCTAAATTGTGTGCAGCACCAAGTTTGTGCCATTCTCTGATACTTTTCAGTGAAAACAGATCCTGTATACATGGGGAGAACAACAGTGCAAAAATATTATAAAAGTATTTCTTGAAAAAGGTAAATGTTTTACTAACAATGTTTTTTGTTTTTAAAATTTTATTTATTGATTTTTTTATGGAATTCTTAGTGCATCACCATTTTGAAATTGACTCTTACCTTTGTCTATTAATTTGGCAAAAAATTAGAACAATGGCGAACTCACCAGTGAGTTCGCCATTGCTCTTCAAAATCAGCAGTAAGTTTATGACTTTTCTATGAAGGGGCAGATAATCAGAAAGTATATCTTTTAAATTATTCAGTGACTTTTGTTTCCTTTGTAATCTTAAAATTTTATCCTTTGCATTAGGGAAATCAAATTCTTAGTCATCTTTCACCTGATGAATATACTCATATTGTACATGTGTTAGAAGATGCAATCTTGGCTACAGACTTAGCAGTCTATTTTAGGTAAGGCTACAAATTAAATGTAGTTAAATTTTATCTGCTGAACATTTAGGTCTTAGGTGCAGGGAGAAAATTTTCTTCCTTCTTCGTGTATTCCCTAAAGCGTAAGCCTTTTCCTTTCGTTTTCATATGTGTCTGAAATATTTTAATTTCAGTTTTTTTTCAGTACTGTATAAATGAAAATTCTTATAAAGGGAAAACATCTTAATGAGAGAAAAGTCTAAATATGTATAATCCACAACTTGAGTTATTCATGGCAGTGAAGATTTCTGTAATATTTATGACAATTGTATACCAAACTTCATTCAATTTGTAAATAATAACAGCAAACTTCCATACAGGTTAGTATCTTGAAGAGTTTATGCACATACATATGTATGCATTTATAGGCAGTTATGAATATTGGAAGCAGGAACATTCATGGTTCAAAAGTACTTGCTCTAGAGAATTAATATATACAAAATCCCGTACTCCCAGACAAACCAGAAATTGTCACATACCTGTAAAATTTTGATATTGCTATGCACACATAGGATTTTAGATCCAAGACTGATTATGCTGTATAATCCACACATCCAGAACTGTTTTATAGGAACATCAGGAGGCATGGCAACTGCCCCACACAAGAACATGATTAGCAACCATATTAAGAGCACAACCAACATTTTCTACTGCTGTTTGTCTTGCTGAATATCTATAACTTCACATTTCAGCTTACAATAAGACATTCTTTGTTAGTTCCTAGTGCTTATGAAATGCAAATCCCCAGAAGAAAAGTAGCTCACTGGAAAGTTTTAAAGTGACTTATAAAAGAGAGCTTGTTTTTTAAAATATCCTTAATCAAATTGCATAAGTGTCTCTTATTTTATTTAGTTTACATGTAATATGTTAGTTAAAATTCTGAAGAATCATAAAAAAATTTTTTTTACATGTTAATTTTTGTTATTGTTTGTTTGTTGTAATGATTCTTAATAACTGGATTTCTATTTTTAAATTTAATTGATATTCAGGTTATAATAGCTCAATTAGTATTTTTTAAACTACTTTATATTTCAGAACATAATTTTTTTGTGCTAGTTTTAGAAACTAATGTGATATAAATTGTTTATTATATAAATTCATTAAAATGTTCAAATGGCATTTAACAACATGTAAATAGTACATAAAAATTAATATTAAAAAGAAAGTTTTGTTGAAATGCAGTTGTTATGAAAACCTCAATATAATAATAGTCACTCATTCACCACTATAATTGTGTATCAATAACCTGAAATATTCAGTTCACAGAGCAATCACATAGTGGCTCTCAAACATTTTTTTTTTTTTTTTTTTCATCTCATCTCTGCTGTTGTCTGCTCAGGGGCCCAGCTATTTGCTATTTACAAGCACAAACATGGCCCAGACATTTAAATGTTTATAAAACATTCAGTCACTAAGCTGCATGAGAAATTTCATAGTAGCTTACAAATTACAATACAAATAATTCAGTAATGTAACTGTGTAACATAGCACTTTAACCTTAATAAAATACATAAACATGAAATAATTCTCATTGAAAATTCACCTATGCACATTGTAAAACAGTTTCACATGTACGCTTAATATATAACAATTTTCATTTGGTCATAGGTAAAATACAGATTTTGGAAATACATCTTAAATATACCTGCTTTATAAATTTAGAGGTCAAACAACAAAAATCAGCATTATATTTGCAAATTTTCACAGGAGTTTCTATAGTTTTATCAAACCATCAACCTCAGCTGTCAAAGTGCAAATGAACAAGATAAGATATAGTGATAAGATGAGAATGGCTGGACATGAGTACTGGCACCATCTATTGATGAAACAGGAAAACTAAAACATAATTTCCCTATTTGGCTGAAGGTAAAAATGGATTGGAATTAGGGTCATTAACTAGAGCAGAAAGATTGTTTTGAATGTGAAAGGCCTTTAGAAAATCTAATTCACCAATGGAGGATGTTTTTTGAATAATTTCGGCTATAGAAAAATTTGAAAGTATGATTTTTGAACCAACAATGGGCGACAGAGGACTTCTGTGTTTCCTTTTCCCTAACATACTCCTGATGTTCTTTAACCCAAAATTTTAAGGATGTCTTAGTTTGACCAATGTAAATTAATCCACAATGGCAAGGAATCCTATCAATACCCCAGGAATTCATATCCGGAATGGGGTCCATAAGTATGGAACTTGGAATTTTATTGATAGGAGAATAAATGACTCGAAAGTTAAATTTCTATAAAATATGTGCAATTTTATAGCTAATTGATGGAAAGAAAGGAATGACAACAGAATTCTCATAATCTTCTAAAACAAGAGTCGGCCTTTCAGTATGTTTCGGTAGTCGTCATGATATCAATGATGTCACTAAACACTTAAACGAAGGACCGTATGATCCAATCACTAAAGACCCTTCACCTTTGGACCTGTCAAAAATAAAAACTGTGATCAAATTTTCCCAAATCCTTTTGACCAGCTTCAAACAATTGCTCATCTCATCCATTGTGAATTGTGTCAGATTATATGCTCTTCCCAAAATTCATAAAAGTGGTATTCATTTCTGTCCTATTGTATCAAATTTGGGCACTGATTTATACCCGTTAGCTAAGTATTTAGTTTCTAGATTTTCAACTCTATTAGAGAATAACATTTACACCAGAAAAAATCCAATAGAGTTTGTAAAAAAGTTCAAAGCATTTTTCCTAGAAATTTACTCATGGTTTCTTTTGGTGTAAAATCATTATTCACCAATGTTCTAGTGGAGGGTGCATTAAGATGTCTAGAAACCTGACTTTGAGAATTTCATTTCTCCTGCATTGGAATTGATGAGCTGATTTCCCTCACTCAGCTCTGTTTGAAACAAACGCGTTTTGTTTTCAAATATAAGTATTACAAGCAAACTGAGGGATTAGCCATGGGAAGCCCCCTCAATCCCATCCTGGCTGATAATCTACGTGCATTATTATGAATCAAAATTATTTGAAACTGTAAACTTCCTGTTACAGTTCCGCTACGTAGACGATACTTTTACCTTGTTTGATGGTAATAAAGATAATTTAAATAAAGTTCTTTCAAGATCCTGCTATTCAGTTCACTTTTGAACTTGAGACATACAATTCTCTTCTGTTCCTCGACATTTTGGTCACACATAACACCTCCAACTTCAGTGCTATGGTTTGCCTCCACCACACTTCACATCATGTCATCCGACTAAACAAAAGTTAACTTCATTTTGTTCCTATATTTTCCATGCACTTCAAGTTTACTCCTCCAAATTGGCTCTTGATCAAGAACTAATTTATTTAAAAGCAGTAGCTATTGATAGGGGCTTTTTACCCAACATTATTAATCAAGGCGTTAAAATTCTCATCTCAACACACCGAAAGGCACACTCTTGTTTTAGGAGATATAAGAATTCTGTTGTCTTTCCTTTCTTTCCATCAATTAGCTATAAACTTGAACGTATTGTACAGAAATTTAACAATCAGATCATCTATTTTTCTATCAATAAAATTCCAAGTTCCATACTTAATATCAAATAATTTTGATTCATAATAATGCATGCAGATATCACCCAGGATGGGATTGAGGGGGCTTGCCATGATTAATCTCTCAGTTTGCTTGTAATACTTATATTTGAAAATAAAATGTGTTTGTTTCAAACAGAGTTGATTAAGGGAAATCAGCTCATCAATTCCAAAGCAGGAGAAATAAAATTCACAAAGTCTGGTTTCTAGCCATCTTAATACACTCTCCACTGGAACATTGGTGAATAATGATTTTACACCAAAGGAAACCATGGGTAAATTTCTAGGAAAAATGCTTTGAACTTTTTTTACAAACTTTTTTGAATTTTTTATGGTGTAAATGTAACCATAAACCAACATATTTTATAGAAATTTAACTTTTGGGTCGTTTATTCTCCTATCAATAAGATTCCAAGTTCCATACTTAAGGACTCCATTCCAGATATGAATTCCTGGGATATTTATAGGATTCCTTGCCATTGTGGCTTAATTTACATTGGTCAAACTAAGACAACCTTAAAATTTCGGGTTAAAGAACATCAGGAATATGTTAGGGAAAAGGAAACAGAGAAGTCCTCTGTTGCCCAGCATTGTTGGTCCACAAATCACACTTTCAAATTTTTCTGTAGCTGAAATTATTCAAAAAGACATCCTCCATTGGTGAATTAGATTTTCTAAAGTCCTTTCGCATTCAAAAAAATCTTTGTGCTCTAGTTAATGACCCTAATTCCAATCCATCTTTACCTTCAGCATTTGGGAAAATTATGTTTTAGTTTTCTTGTTTCATCTATAGATGGTGTCAGTAGCTTAACTCATGTACAGTCATTCTTAACTTATCTTACCACTAAATCATATCTCGTTCATTTGCATTTTGGCAGATGAGGATGATGGTTCAGTAAAACCATTAAAATTAGTCCTGTGAAAATTTGCAAATATAATGCTGATTTTTGTTGTTTTACTTCTAAATTTATATTTGTTTGGCGTTTTACTTTACCTTAATACACGCTTTAGTTTTAATTTTAACAATCCAAATTTTTTTATCATCACCATAATACGCATCAGTTATTTGTTCAACAATCCATTGGTGTATAGGTGCATTATCCTCTACGAATAATGCTAAATCTCGTATGTGATATTATTTTTATCAAATGTCCATTTATTTATTTTTTTGCTGCCGCTCATATAAGTAACTATGGTGTCATTTTTTCCAAATCAATCACCCAATTTTTGTTATTCTTTGCCATTTAAGTTGATTTTCATTTAAATTGGTTAAATCAGGCTCAGTAACTGAATTTATTGATCTATTTATCAAAAAATGCACAGGGGCTAAATCTACAAAATCATCTTCATTAGCTGTTAGTAAACACAGAGATCTTGAATCTAAAATTCCCTCAATCTGTATAATTACTATTAAGAACTCTTCATATGTTAAATATGTGCCACCTACCATACTT